GAGAAAAAAAAAGGAGAAATATATATACTGAGTATATACTGATCAGGCAAAATGGGTCTAAATAATAATAAATATCCTATTTGAACTGTTTATATTTACTTTAATGTCTATTATAGTTTCTCAATGTCATTATTGAGGTGCAAATTATCATTCGAATCGCTGCAGAAGAGGCACATTATTATATTTTGCCTAAATAAAACCGTGTAATTTTAGATTTTTTGACTTCTGATAATATTTTCATGACAGTTAAGCACATTATACTTTTTTTTTTTTTAATGTCACTGCTTAACGCAAAAGAACAAAAAAGAACAAACAAAAAAGATTATAGATAAACTATATTTACATTTAGTCATTTAGCAGATGCTTTTATCCAAAGCGACTTACAAATGAGGACAATAGAAGCAATCAAAATCAACAAAAGAGCAATGATACACAAGTGCTATAACAAGTCTCAGCTTAACACAGTACATGTAGCAAGGTTTTTTTTTATTTTTTATATAAACTATATATTTATATATAATATTATATATGATTTAATTATTATATTATATTGTATTGCATATATATATATATACATATATATATATAGTATTTCTGTTTATGTCATAGTAGTATTTGTTATACTGCATTTCATTTATCCTGATTAAAAAATCATTATATTATAGTAATATTTTACTTTTTATATTAAATTGTACCACACAAATACTGTATTACAATAATGAGAATCTAATAAGAATCATCATTGAGAACAAGTAAAACTCAAAAGTAAAACATCCATATGCCAGATGAGTTTTTTCTCTAGTATGATAATTAGAAATTTAGGAGAAAATTAATTATTCTAATTCTCCTTAATTATCATGAAAATTCTGTATAAAAAAGACTTAATTTACTGTTTGTATAATTATACTTCGATGCAATGTGTTTATTTTAGGGTGAAATATGACCTGGACATGTTTCTATGAAATTCACATTTATAGAAATTGCAGAAGTCAATTTGATTTACACAAATATGCTTTCAAGTGTACAAATGTGCCTAATAAGACAAAACAAAATCATTCAGATCTGTCAAACACCGCCTGCAGGAAGAATCCAGCGTGTCTTACAGGAACAGTGTTTGATGGGAACATGTGGGAGTGTTTGGGGAGAAAAGCACAGACTGGAACTGAAGTAGAGAGAAACAGAAGTTGGAAAGCGAATGGAAAGAGATGTTCTCTCAGACTTACACTCACACTATCTACAGAGAAACCAAACACAAGTGATCCTTATCAAAGTCTCTCCACTGTCTCAGTCAATCTCACACACACACACACACACACACAGACAGACACAGACAGACAGAAACAGACACACACACACACACCTCATGCATTAATAAAGGAGGCTACAGGGTGAAATTACTCTACTGGGGCAAATTCAGTATTCACCTTCACAAATAACTGTGCCTCACAGCTGGTGTTGATACAGATGTGCAGGTATCAGAGATGATGTGTGCTTATGACAATATTTCACCCCAAAAACTACACAGCATCTGCACCATATGCAATATATAAAATAATTTTTAAAGGGCCCAAAATAAAATATTAAATAAAATAAAAACACTGCAACAAAGTCAACAAATAAATAAATAAAGTATGTCCACATTTACATAATTAACAGTCTTAAAAGTAGAGTTATAATTTTTTTAATAAATGTATAGCTTAATAATTATTTTAAATTAAAATAAATTTTAACAACACACAAGCACCATATGCAATGTAAAACACAATTCAAAATATTGCCACAATATTGGCAATAAAAACAATAAAAATAAAATAAAATCTTAAATTTCTTCTTCTTAAGATTCTTAAAAGGTAGGTAGTTGTAAAATTTTTGTTAAATGTTAAATTTTCTAAACTACAAATTTATAGTTTAATAATTATTTTAACAACAATATTAACTACAGGGCAGGGCACCTGCGCCATAAAACACAATTTTAAAATTATATTATGCCTAATTATGTTAAAACAAATATTGGCACAATTTTAACAATGAATGAAGAATTTATTATTTAATAATAATTTTTTTTTAAATAATAATAATAATAAGGTTTGAGATTTGTATGGAATTAATATGAAGTAAGTTTTATTGGGGAAGGAGGGTCATGAATCAGTGTGTGTTTATACTGTAGATGTACAGTATCAGACGTGATGTGTATTAATGCTCTGAGATGGCAGACGCATGGGTTATGATGCATTATAACGGTCAAGATGATGAAGATGATGATGATGTATTTGTGTGAGTTTCTCACTCCGTCATGCACCAGAGCCTTCCACGTGTGTTCTAGCTTCTTTGTGAGTCTGCAGAAAAACACAAACATCAGCTTCACTTCACAGACTGCTGAGTGTCCTGATGGAGAACTCAATGCAGTCTTATAAAAACCGTTACATAAGAGCATAAAACAACCCCAGACGTTAGTGAAGATTATAAAGCCATGCACTTCATCATCTGTACGAGGTTCACTGGCGTGACTCAGCAAAAGAGCACAAACACACACTAAAGGAGAATCAAAGAGCAGCAGGAGAGAAAATACACACGCGCAAATCTACAGGCCACCTGCACCGAATTGTGCAATAGAAAACACAATTTAAAAAGGGCCCAAAATAAAATAAAATAGAATATTTTTTTACATATCAACCACTATTAAATAAATAAATTTATTAATTTAAATACTCACTTTTTCAATTTTGCCATAAAATATTGCAATATTTTTTTATTTATTTAATTTAGGACAAAATAAAATAAATAAATAAATACATATATAAATAATGGTCAGATTTACATAATTAGGAGTCTTAAAAGGTAGACAGCTAAAAAAATAATGTATAGCTCAACAATTGATCTAAATTAAATTAAATAATTTTAATAACAACTACAAGGCACAAGCACTGTGTGTAATATAAAAAACAAAAAAAATATTGCCACAATTTTGCCAATAACTAAATAAATAAAATAAAAACAAAGGGCCAGAATTACTTAATTCAGAGTCTGCAAAGGTAGGCTTTTTTTTTTTTTTTTTTACATTTATAGTTTAATAATTATTTTATTTTATTAATTCCAACCACCTGCGCCATGAAACACAATTTAAAAAAATTGGCTTAAATCAAATATTGCCTCAATTTTTCAAATAAACAAATAAATACATAAACAAGTATTACAGTTTCATAATGATTAATTATATAAAGTTATATTATATGTTATTTAGGAGATTTATGTAAAATTTTGATTTAACATTTTTTAGATATCAAAATATATTTAAAAAATGTTAAATCAAAATTTTACATAAATCTCCTAAATGACATATAATGTAACTTTTAAAATAAATATAAACATCAATTTAAAAGTTAATTTAAATGTTAAATCTTAAGCAGGTTTGATACTTTTATGGCAATGACTTAAATCACTAATAAAAAATAATAATAAAAATAAATTAATAAATGTGGGCATTTTTGT